AACGAAGATACGACACAACATACAAACATATATGAAAGATAAAGGTGTTTGATTTCTCATTCCTCATCTGACATGTAGTAGTCAGAGAGATATTTTTCATTGTTTAAGACATTATTTCGCTCAATCACTGTCAAATCTCTGTTGCTTGCTTCTGCCATTTCGGTGGCTAGCCGAAGCATGAAATGTCGACATCTCCGCATCAACATTCTATTGTTCTCCTTTTTAATTCTGCTAACTGATTTTTCATAGTCACTCACATTTCGTCTAGCCATGGTCAATGAACGGCGATGAGGTACCGGTGCCCCAAAGTTACGTAGATCATTAAATAATCCTTCTTGCTCCGTTACCTTGAACGCCCATTCTGCTCGGATACCAGCATAATAATCCTTCGGACTCGAGTACTTTTCGCTCTTGTAGTCATAAGTAAATGGTAGCAGCCATACTTTCGGATTTCTTTGCTGGCGTGAACTTCCTGCACCTCTTGAAGACATTGTTCATAAAATAAAAAAATTAATAATAATACTAATTGTAGATATATTACTATTGTTATGACTTGAACAAACATCATATTGGGGGTAGCGCTATTTATAGACATCATACTAGGGGTTAACTAGAGATGATCTGGTGACGATAATGCATGCTGGGGCACTATGGAAGAAGTGATACCCGTGATATTATTTTATCTTATTCATTTCATGCAATCCTGAGTACCCGTGACTTTGTGTATCTGAATTGATGTAGTCACGGATGTGGTTGTCAGATAAAACCAATTCTTCAGATTTATGGACAATTACAGATAAGTTAATTTGATTTGCTCAAACTTGTGCCATTAGGGATCTTAATGACAAAGTTATTTCCTATGTGAAAAAGTAACCCTCGTCCACTTTTTAGAGGTCATAGAGGCTTTGTTATGAAATTCAAACAAAAAGCTCATTTTGGCTCGTTCTAAAAAGTAAGAAAAAAAATTTAATTTATTTACTCTTTTTTTTTTCTTAAACATACAAAAATAAAATAAAAAATAGAGAGATAATTTATAATGGCCAAAAAATAGAGAGAAAATTTAAGTTGGTGGTTAAATCTATGTAGTAAATTTTGGATAGTTATCCATGTGAATCTATCGGGCCATCCGTAACAATTATTTGGTATTATAAAACACAGGCTTACCCATCAAAGTTGCCTAATTTTTTTTTTTTGTCCTTCTTACCTAGGAAATTTCTATGGACTATTAATTAGAATGTTTTAAGACTCTTTTCATGAATATATTATAACTAGTATATGTCCGTGCCTGAAGGCACGGTGCAATTAATAATGACTTCTAATTATATAAATCAAAATAAAATTATTAAAACATAATGTTAAGATTTTCCTTTTCAATGGTGGTGGACAGTCACAAAGCGGAAGTGGTGACGTGTCCCTTCGTTCAATACCCATTTCAAAAACTTTTTCAAATTTTCTTAAGTTTTGTGAGGAAATTTTAATTTCTACTATAATGCTATTATATGTATTACAAATTCAGCTTATTAAATTTTTAAAAATTTCTATGACAAGCTTATAAAATTAAATGTTAGTATTTTATGATGAAATGCCTTCAAATTATTCTAATATCAAAATTAATATTTTTTATAAAAATTATTAATTTTATTGAATGTATATTAAAAATAATACATGATATAGCGGTTTGGTTTGATTTTTTAAATTATTTTTTGATTTTTTTTGAAAAAATATAAATAAATTTGACAAAAATAAATTGTTCGGTTTGATTTTCCAAATGGTCGTGGAAGAATGTGGCACCTCCCAAAATTCAGTTTTTTTTGTTGGTTAGCTTGGAGGGGCAGAGTGCAATCCGGTCTTACATACAATTTACAAGTACTTATGTCCTAAAGTATGGATTTAGGTAGTTAACAGCTAAATGGAAACCTTTAGCAAAACCCAAATGAAAATAAATCCTAAGAATTTTTTATAATATTTTGGATGCCTGACCCCAATACAGTGAAATAAACCAAACGAAACTAAACCAAACAAAGCTTTATGTCCCAATCAAGTGGGCTACGATACGTGAATCCTTTTTTCGTCATTTCATACTATTAAAAGCTATATGCTCGGTTAAATTAAATAAATTCGTTTAATTTTTTTACTTTCACATCCCAAGTCAATTTACGTCTTCTCCTAACATTTCCTTTTACAGTGATCCTATCACATTCTTCTCTACCATTTCATGAGCTTGTTGTTTCTTAATTGTCCAATATTATGTGAACTACAAAGTATCACTGGTCTTACAATTGTTTTATAAATTAACAACGTCAATTTTATTAGCATGATTGATCACATAATATGCCAAAGGCACTCCACTTGAACCTACTTTGATTCTATTACAGGTGGGAATTTCTAACACAACATGAATCGTACACAAAGTTAGGGGTTAGGGTTGAACATTTTCAACACAAACACAAATATGACACTATATAATAACATGATAAATAAATAGGGTTATGTCAAAGCTGCATAATATGAAATTAACACAGATAATCCATTTAATAGATAATTAGTTACAAATTTTAATGTTATTTTCATTAAAAGATGCCAGAAATATTTAAATCTCTTATGTAACCTACACAATTAAATAAAGAAAATACGTAAAATAGTATTTTCAGGTTAATATAGTTATTTTGTCTTTTATTTGAGAGAACATGATCTTTTCATTTATTATTTTGAAGGCAATAAAAATATTTTTTTTTTTGAATAAAATAGAGTCAAAATTAATTTTTTTTTTTTTGAATAATTTCATTTAGAAGAGATTAGTTTCATGAAATTTAACTTAGGAAAAAACGTTAATCTTTCCATACACTTAGTATTTTTAATTGAAATTCATATTATGAAATTCATATTTGTCATTTTTTTGAAAGATAAAATTGACTTTAACCCCCTTTGCTTTACTCCATGTGTGATTTACCTCTAATATTTGAAAATAAGAACATAACCCCTTATGACCTAGCACATGTTTCACACTTGATGTTAACTTGGATTGAACGTCTGACGGTATACTTCATTTAGTCCACAAACCACAAGAACATTATAATTATTTCCAAATTATATGGATAGTTTGCACATTCACATTGAAGTGAAATTTGCCCTTTATTAAATATGCACAATGTCTTGAATTGAATAAATACACCTAGAGGGTAAAATAGTATAGTGAAATAAATCAATGTCTTGAATTGAATAAATACACCTAGAGGGTAAAATAGTATAGTGAAATAAATCAGGTGACAAATACCATTTCTCATATAGTATAATAGACAGCAAATTCAAGTATACAACCCCACCTTGATATTACCAAGTGAAATACTGAATAAAGGTGTATATATATCTAGTACTATTATAAAGAGAACTCTTCTCTGGGTGTTTATGTCTTATATTTTGAGTTTTTCAAAAATACCCCTATATCAGTTATATGGGCAGTTATGCACTAAATTCTTTTTTTTTTATTTTATTTCAAATCTCTCAACTTTTGAATTTTTCAGATTCGCTTCAATTTACAGATTTTGAATTCAATCATACAGTTTACAGTTTTATTTTCTGAAACAAAATTATCATATATATGTAAGCATGTGGACCTCGAATTGAAATTGCCAGTCCACCTTAATTCTCAATTCATAAATTTCATAATATAAATTTCAATTCTCAATTCTCAATTCTCAATTATATGAATTTCAATTCGCATAATTTTATTCTTAATTAAAAAAAAATCCTTTTATTAACAAGCAAAAAATAAAATTTCCAATTCAACAAAAATAGGTTGGTTTGTTCACAATTTATAATTCCAAACCCTAATTTAAAAAAATATAGACAGGATTCATAATTCACAATGCAAAAAATATAGACACGATTCAAAATTCAAAATCCTAATTTCTGAAACCACAAGCATAATTTATGATTTCACAATTCAAAACCCTAACATTTTATGATTTCATAATTTCATAACCAAACATTTAAAACCCTAATTCAAAACCCTAACACATTAGAACCCTAACACATTTAATAATTGACATTTAAAACCCTAACACATTTCAGAATTGAAAACCCTAACACATTTAACCACACATTTCATAATTCAAAATCCTAACACATTTATGATTTCGTAACCCTAATTTCTAATTTCATAATTTATGATTTCACATTCAATTGAAAACCCTACAAAATTTTCACAATTCAAAACCACACATTCACATTTTCACAAACACAATAAATACATAAAATTCAAATGAGACAGAGAGAGATAGATGCCATACCACGGAAAGAGAGAGCAGAGACAAAGAGTGAGAGCAGAAAGAGAGTCTGAGAGCAGAGGGAGAGCGAGAGCTACAGTGAGAGTCTGAGAGCAAAGGGAGAGACAGAGCGACAGTCGAAAAAACGTAAGTGTAAAAAACGTGATTGCAAATGAGGGGGCTTGGGTGTTTTATATAAGTTGTAAAAACGTGGTTTCAATCCACGCTTTCATTTATCAATAGTGAAAGCGTGATTTCAAATCACGTTTTCTTAACAAAAAACAAATATGCACAGTTAAAGCATGATTGCAAATCACGTTTTCTTAAGAAAAGAATATGCACAGTGAAAGCGTTGTTTAGAACCATGCTTTCTTCAGAAAAAAAAAAAAATTTAAACAATATGCACAGTGAAAGCGTGGTTTGCAACTACGTTTTCTTCAGAAAACAAATTTATGTTAAAAGCGTGGTTTGTAACCACGCTTTCTTAATTAAAAACGTGGTTTGTAATAGCGCTTTCACTATTCACCAAATTTTCTACTCAAAACAGTGAAAGCGTGATTTGTAATAACGCTTTAACCTAGTTTGGGAATTCCGTCCAAACTAGGCCTAATTTTGGAATTAAGATAGTAATTTGGCTTAATATGGGAAAAGCCTCCCAATCTTAATTCACTGGCTGAAGAGAGCTTCATCAGCCTAGCCCACATGTAGGGCATAGGAAACTGTAATTGCTTCATATATTAACCTTTTAATCATAATGTAAATTAAGGCCAAATTAGCCCTAATAGTAGTTAAAATTACAACACGCTGATATCTATCTGTAAACTCAAACTTGAGATCTCATACTAGCACTTGAATGCCCTCCCAAGCAGTTGAATCTGAGAATTGCTCCAACCAAAGGCATACAATGTTCCTCAGATACATAAAAAGTTACATTCTATTATAAAATTAATTCCATCAAAAAAGATGGTACAAAAATGAAGTAACATAAAGAATAAGCCTATTCAAATCTTTTATTATTATTATTATTTTATTTTATTTATTTATTTAATTTTGTGACGTTATCGGCTCACGCGGAGATGAAGGCACTCGCACTAAATCAGAGTGTGGAGAAGAAGTCTATCCGCTGCGAGTCCAACTGATTCCTTCATGAAATCCCAGATTGATGACAACCATATGTAATATGGGTTAGTTATAGTCAGTTGTATGGATACTTCATCCTCCAAGTAAGGAACGATATATTTCTTCGCGTCACTTGTAGAGATGTGAAGATGGCCCCCCGACATGTTTATGAATTTCACCTTCCCAGCTTCATCCAAGGTTTTCAAACCGATCCAATCTTCTGTATAGAGCTTTGTCTGCATGAAAAAGTAGAAGAAGAAAAAAAAGGATGAGCTAATATAAGGTGGTTCTGTTGTTTTCTAATATTAACTGCATGTGTCTACCAGGATATAAGAAAGAAGATCAATCGCTTTTATGTGGAATTTGAAACTATAACCTTTTGGAATCACTATCCTTGACATAAAAACAAGAAACTGTGCAGGCGGTTGGGCTAGAAGAAAAAACTTTCTCATGTCGTATTGATCTCTAAAACATCATATACTGTTCTCTCCCTTATACCCAAGACAATAAGAATAGTGATTTGATTTTGGACCTCACCATCTGATTATCAAAAAGCACAACAGCCTGAGTGACTAGGCGATATCGTTCTTTCGTCTGTTATAGGTGAAGCAATGAGAAAAGTGATTTCACTTTGAACCTCCCAAAAAGAACAAGCTTCTTCCTGAGTGTTACATGGACTCTTCTATTTCTCCCCTACTACCTGTGTCCACCAAATATGATATGGGTAGAGGTTTGGGATGTGTTAAATGCCTGTACCTAATTTCGACACTTAGATCCTCAAGTTTTTTATGATGTTTAAAGAAGACGCTCATGTTTCCTAGTAAAGAAATATTTCTCATCTCTTAGATAGATGGGAGATAGAAATTTCATATTTCTCCAAATCCTATGTAATTTCAAGAACATCTTTAAATAATTTATGTTATCTAAGAATATTATACAAGTGTTCAGGATATGTTCCCTTAACCATGCCTAATTTTTGGATAAATATCTCAATATCTTAAGATTTAAGTTTAGGAAGGTATGACGCTAAAAGCTTGGGGAAAAAATTATAACCTTTTAAAAGCTCTCCTAACCAATATAGCATCCTATTATAACTTAAATCTCAGTATTAGAAACCTAAAAAATGTAAAAATAAATGATTGATACAAAATAAAATAAAAATAAAATAAATAATAGCAATTTTTTCTCCTTGCAATGTCCTATGCCACATTACCTCTTGAGCAGGCAAAACTGTGCTCCAGGATCCATCTGGAAAATACCCAAACAACGAGGTTTCTTTCGGCACCAAAACTCTGTCGTGCTCAAACTGAGCAACCATATGACAAAAAAGCATTATGAAACCGACAGTGTCTTCCTAGCTTTGAAATAAGTATTAAAAGTTGCAAATCTAAAACATGCCTAGTGCGCCATAACTAGTTCCACAAACACCTATAAAAAAAAATATAAAAATATTCTTGAACTTACCATGATAAGAACCAAATTCTGCAGGCTAGCAAACCGTTTTTTGTAGGTGGAGTTTCTATCATTTACACGTTCATTATTAAGCTTTGGAAGAAAGCTACATCCTTGTAGATAGTCATCAATTTCCTGGGAAAAGAAATTAATCGTGTTTAGCTCCTAAGATAAGATGAAGTGCCAGATGCACATCAATGATAGCAATTATATCACTGAGAAATAAATAGCCATTTAACCCTTTCAAGCATTTAATGCTGGTAAACTTTACGGTGTAACAATGAATAGCATGAATAAAGGAAGAAAACAAAACACTGATGATAGCTATTAAGTAGGAAAAAGGCGACTTTTCATTCTGGACAATCTATGAAGCACGGATACTTCTAAAAGCGAGACGTATCCATATACCAATGCTCCTTGGATACTCTCAGATACATACTGGATACTTATTAAAGTATCGGATACTTCTTAATTAATTTTTCAATAATTTTGAAGTATTGGATATTTCAAGTCATGTATTGCTTGTTTTATGAAATTAGAATTGTAGTATTTCTTGTATAACATTATAATATACCTTAATTGTGAGGATAAATACAATAATATTTTTCCAATACTTTGCTTAGTTCTTTGATAAGAAGACTATGGGATGGCAAAATTACCCGACCCGATTATATTTGTCCCAACCCGATTTTAATAAAAAAAGTTTATGAGAACATTGATAAAGTAGGATAAAGTAAAAAGGGGTTTACGTGTAAGTCCTAATAGGTTAGCTTATTGTCCAATAGGTATTATGATAATTAATGGTGCTTTTCATCGAACACTATAAAAAAACGCTACTAATTGTTAATTTCAGCGACAAGTTGAAAATTGTCACAAAAAATGTTACTAATTATAAGTTTTAGCGACGGTTTGAAAAAATCGTCACAAAAAGTCACTAATTTTCAACTTTTAGCAAGAATTTGAAAAATTCGTCACAGAAAAACGTCATTAATTGTAAGTTTTAACGACAATTTATAAAAACCATGACAAAAAAGTGTCACTAATTGTCAATTTTTAGCGACATGTGCAAAAATTCGTCACAAAAAATTATTTTTAACAACGATTTTATTAGGACTTATTTTCAATAGGACTTAATAGGAATTAAGTCCAACAATTAGGACCTATTAGTAACTTATCCTAAAGTGGGTATGTAGGTTAAAACTGTCAAAAGTTATGGTAAGTATGAAATCATATCATGAAAATAGTTGAGTTTAAAGTCAAGAATTAGCGCGTGAAATCCAAAAAAACCCGACCCGTTTAAAAATAACAGAATTTCTCAAATTGGCATATCCTTATTGTATCATGCACGTCCTATATCACTACATAGAAAGTAAAGATTAAGAAGCAAATATAACAATAGTAAAATTAAATATCAAAAAATAAGTAAGAACACTTGCATACAACTTTGACTAGTGTAAAAGGGAAAAGGACATGGACAAGTTCATGTGGATTGTTCTATTGTAATATAAACATATTGGCCTTGGTATTATTGAGATGAAATATTTGTAATAAATAAACTAGCTAATGACTTAAATAAATACCTAATTCTTAAATATTAGTATTTTTCATTATAAAATTACAATGTCATTTCTCAACATTCTTGAGTTTATGTGTAACTCACTACTAATAATTTAAAAAATATACATATATATATTTTTAGCCGTATCCGTATCCGTATCCTACTTTTATAAGTTTTGTCATATCGCCAAGTCCGTATCGTACCTGTATCCATGCTTCCTAGTGGACAATCAACTATAGGAAGATTTGAGGACATGTGATTTAAAAAATTACATGCCTTAGACAAACTTTTTTAAAGATCTCCTAACCTCAAGTAAAGTAGACTCACAGTTGGGATTTTGATATAACTAGCAGGTGCCAAGTTTTCCTGCAATCACATCAAGGTGAGGCAGCATTAATTGTTTTATGTTCCAGAAGAGAGAATATAAATAAATAATAATAAAAGAAAGACAAAAAACTAGTGAGGATGCAACTGGTCCTTGATTAAGAGAGAATTCGAGTTCCACCACACTTGAGAAATCATTTTATCAGGTGAATTCTTAATGACATTGTCTTGCCTGTTTATATCTCATACAGTCAAAATTATGGTGGCAAAAGAACTTCCATCCAAGAAAGCTTAAAAAGATATCCACACCTGGAAAGAGCTTCTGTAAATCTCTAACTTGACTAAACAGTCCTCGAGAATGCAAATTAAGCCAGACTGCAAGCATTAGTGCACATCAAATTAAGACTGCAAGTCTGTGTAAAAAGAAGAAATCGCGCATAACACATAATGACAATTAATCTTCACTGAACAGATTAAACCCTTCTGAATTTTTATTGATAAAGGCCTTGAGATATGAAAATTTTTCCATAACACCAACATAGAAATCATCCCACAAAATAAATTATATGATGCAACAAACAAATAATAAATAGTCTATCACAACCAAAAAATAATTTTGAGGTGTGTTATCAGAATGAAGATTCACCAATAAATTCATACACCCATTTGCAGTAGACCCGAAGCACCATGTGGCATCGCCAATGTGGTACTCCAAACCAATCACATAGCAGAAAAGTTTATGAGTGGAACATGCTTACCCACCTTTGTTAGGAAGTTAAGAGACAAATGGCCACCCATTTAGTGTGTGTTCCAGTTTCTCATTGGTCGGGAGTTACATTATCTAATAATTTTTCCCACTTCCAAATACCTCAAAGTTCCTCAACTACTGTAAAAAAATCTGTGTATCTACTCATCAGAGAGAATTGTTGAGGAAACCAAGAAGCTCACAAATACCTAGCAACAATACGGACCAATTTGTTGGGGAGTAGTTGAGGATTCCACATGTACAATACCGAGGCCCAACATACATTGTTTGAAACTCATACTCACTTAAAAATTTAAGCTTGTAAGTGGAATGTCCATCTAATGTATGTTAAGACACTCCTTTTACATTTTATCCGACATGGGACTCCTCCTTCTCATATGCTCCTATAATCTCTCCCTCATGTGTGAGCCGAACATCAAGCCTAGCTTAGCTCCCCCTCAGATATGCTCTATCAGTTGCAGGTTCACCATATATTGTACACACTTACCCTTAATTTTGATCTATTACTAATGCAAAGTATAAGAAGCTCAAGGAAGAGTAAATTTAAAGAAATGACAATATTGGGAAATTGGCATGGTTTTTACACAATCATGTTTCTAGTATTATTAGAGTCTTCTTCTATGATTATTTTTATATTTTTTATATTTTAAGGCCATGGGATATTTTGGTAATTTTTATATTTGCTGATATAGGTTATATAAGTCGCCCATGGGTCATCTTATGGGTCAAATTATCTAATTAGTTTTGTTTATATATCTTATTTGGTCTTAGATGGGTTTTTGGAAGTCAACGATTTAGTAGTTCCTTTTTTTTTATTCTAATTAATTTAAGAAGTCTCCTAATTCTATATAAAGTCATGTAATGCTTATAATTTAATGGAGTTGATATTTTAGAGAATTTTAGATCTTTGAAGCTTCTTTATGGATTGTGTAAAGCAATCAAACACTAGGTGTGATGTCTAAGGCATCTAGGAGTGATTCCTAGAAACTATCTTCGTTCCTTTCTTTTTTTCTTAAATTTCAGCGTTTTCACAGCCCTAGAACAGCCCCTAACAGCGCTGTCCTGCATTCTCCAACATTGCGATTCATGTGCAACCCAAGCTACAACATGCACTCTATGACCAAGAAGAGGCATCATACTCAATTGAGAGCCATCATATCACGAGCCTATCAGCCATGCGCACCTAGATCTTCCTTGCTCTATTGAGAGTTACCCATGGATTTTTCTGTTGCATCAAAAATCTATGTGCAAACCCACCAATATCAATTTAGCCAGGAGAGTCCGCCCATAGATCTTCAGCCATCAATTCTGATACCAATTGTTAGGACATTTAGGAAGCCCACGAACGCACAGCAACAAGAAGGCCCTATCTGTTGGGGGGGTGGCTTGTGAGAATATATTCGTATATATTAGGCATGTTTGTGATGAGTGTATTTCCTTTTTTGGTCCTATTCTTGTATTTCCTTCTTGGTTAGTCATTAGGGTTATATAAACTAGTCTTGATGTAATTGATACACAATTGAATATACAGAAACATTCAGAAAACTTACATGGTACTAGAGCCAAGTGCAAAACCCTAGCAGAAATCGTAACTGGTTCTCTGGTTCTAAGCTTTAGTTTGATTAAAGTTCTCTTTGATTATGTTCTGGTTCTGTTCACCACCCATCATCACGGTCAAGTTCACCCTCTGCTTCGTCTTGCTTGTGCGACTCATCTGAGTTCAAATCGCGACCCGTCAACTCGCGACCCACCTGCATCACTTCACGACTTCGCATCATAGCCCGTTTGGTTCAACCCACCTTGTTCCCTCTGACTCACGCCTCATCTGGTTCGTGCCTTGTTTCCTCTGTTGCCGACTTGGTTCTGGACGTGCGACACTCGCTCAATCTCTCTCACTCTAATTCGTCTTCATCTGACTCTGCTTGTGAGGTCTTGGAGCCCTGATATTTGGTTTTATTTTGGGATTAGTACACATGAAGCCCCCGCCAACTCTACTTGTGAGGTCTTGGAGCCCCTAATTTTTTGTTTATTACACATAAACCCCTCAATCTGGTCATTATGATGTCTCTTGCTATTGATGAGTGTGCATTTTGCCATCAAAGGGGCCATTAGAAGTATTATTGTCCCAAGAAGAGATGTCTGCCTACCTCGTCCCTACAAGGAAGCCAAGTCAGAATCAATTTCGTGCTCCTCCCGTCGATTATACTACATCTGCTCAATCTTTTGATCTTGACTTGGCTTCCTTGAGTGTCAAAATTGGTCAACTTCAGCATATTCTGCCTGCCTCTTAGCCCTCCCCGTCTGCTTCAGTTGTTTCCTCTCTTCATTTAGGTTTGCTTAGGTCCTCTTCAGGTATCTCTCCGTCTGTCTGGCTTTTTGACTCTGGTGCCTCTCATCATATGACTCCACATCTCTCTTTATTTCAGAATTGTACTCCCCCTCCCTTTCCTATTACTGTTAATGCTGCTAATGAGTCTAGTATGTCAGTTATATCTGTTAGGTCTGTCCTACCGTCTGTTATGTCTACAGTCTCTATTCTATCTGTCTTATATGTTTCTCAGTTATCTGTCAGTTTATTATCTATTAGTCAACTTGATGCCTCTGGTTTTGATGTTATCTTTTCTTCTTCTATCTGTTCTGTGCAGGATCGGATGTCCAAGCAGCAGATTGGGACTAGTCGTAGAGTTGGAGACCTCTATGTGGTAAAGAGCTTGCATCTACCTATGACTACTTCTCCGACTACCTTTTCTTCTCTTCAGTTAGATTCTCTGTCCAATCCTTTCTATTTGTGGCATTCCAGATTAGGGCATTTGTCTGCTGACCGCTTACAGTCTTTAACTCAGTCAGGTATATTAGGTGAAGTTTCTCTTAGTCAATTTACCGAGTGTCGGGGGTGTAAACTTGCCAAAATGACAGCCCTACCTTTTCGTAACAGTACTTCTATATCTGCTACACCGTTTTCTTTAGTTCATACTAATGTCTGGGGCCCTTCTCCTGTTCTCACCAAGGGAGGTTCTGCATACTGTGTCATTCGTTGATGATTGCACTCGTTACACTTGGGTTTATCTTATGACTCATAAGTCCGATATTTATCAGATATACCATACCTTTCAATCTATGATTACTACTCAGTTTGGGTCTACCATTAAAGTGTTACGGTCTGACTTGGGTGGAGAATATTTTAAAAATGAGTTTTGTGAGTATTTGGCCAATTTGGGTACCATTCATCAAACTTCTTGTACAGATATACCTGCCCAAAATAGTCGAGCCAAGCGTAAACACCGTCATCTCCTTGAAACAGCTAGGTCTCTTCTTCTCTCTGCCTCAGTTCCGGCTCCATTTTGGAGGGAGTCAGTTCTTACTGCTGCTTTTCTTCTCAACCGCATGCCTACTCCCCTTCTTTCTGGTCGATCTCCTTATGAGGCTTTGTTCTCCCAAATTCCTAACTACTCCCTTCTTCGTGTGTTTGGGTCTGCCTGTTTTGTCCTCCTTCCCCGTAAGGATCGGACCAAACTCAGTGCCCGGTTTGTCTTGTGTGTCTTTTTGGGCTGCAGTCTTACTCAGAAAGGCTACCGCTGTTACGACCCTATCTCTCGTCGCCTCTATGTCTCCTGTCATGTTGTCTTTCTCAAACGTCTGTCTTACTTTCAGCTTCCCCCTCTCACTGCACCCATTTCCTTTTGAGGTCCTATCAGATGAGTATATCACCACTGTTCCTCCTAAGGTCATTCCTACTTCTCCGTCTATGTCACCTATGGCTCCTTTTTCTCCTTCGACTGCTTCTTCCCCTCCGTTATTAGTCTATTCTCATCACAATGCTCCCCCACCACCAGTTGTCTCTACTCCTGTTGCTGCTCCTTTTGCTTCTGACGACTCTGATCCTGCTGCACACCGCTATCCTCCTCGTGAGCTTCGTCCTCCAAATAGGTTGGGTTGGTCTAATGCATGTTTTTCTGCTTCCTATCGTACTTTTTTGTCTGCTATTCACTGTTTTTTAGAACCTCAGTCTTACAAGGAGGCTTGCCAGGTTCCTCATTGGGTTCACGCTATGAAGGATGAGTTGTCTGCTTTACAGAAAACTCGTACTTGGGAGTTGGTTCCTTTGCCTGCTGGTAAGAATCTGGTTGGTTGCAAATGGTCTACAAAGTCAAGATGCATTCTGATGGTTCTCTGGAGCACTACAAAGTTCGTCTGATCGCCAAAAGTTTCTCACAGGAGTATGGTATTGATTATGAGGAGACATTCGCTCCTGTTGCCAAGATAACTACTGTCCGTACTTTGATTTTTGTCGCTGCTATTCGTTCTTGGCCTCTTTATCAGATAGATGTTAAGAATGTTTTTCTTAATGGCCATCTCACTAAGGAGATTTACATGCGTCCTCCCCCTGGCTTCACCATTCCTCTGGACAGGTTTGTCGCCTTCGGCGTGCTCTGTATGGTCTAAAGCAGTCTCCTCGTGCTTAGTATGATCGCTTTCAAACTACTGTTCCCGAGCTTGGGTTTCATCCTTCTGCTTCCAACTCTACTTTGTTTTTGAGACATACCTCTGCTGGTTCTGTTGCTCTCCTTGGATGATATGATCATCACTGGCTCTGGCTCTGACTCTTCTGCTATCTCTGAGGTCAAGCAACATCTCTTTCGCACCCTTCGAAATGAAGGATCTAGGACCATTGTGGTATTTTCTTGGTATTGAAGTTGCTTCTTTTCCCAAGGGCTACTTTCTGTCTCAAGCCAAATATGCCAATGAGGTTATTTACCGTGCCCATCTTACTGACACTAAGATTTCTGATACCCCCATTAAGCTTAATGTGAAGCTTAACACTACTGATGGTGTCCCCCTGGATGATCCTACTTTTTATCACGAGCTTGTGGGCTGCTTAGTCTTACTAGCCATGATCTTAAATATGCTGTTTACGTGGTTAGCCAGTTCGTTTCTGCTCCCCGCTCTCCGCATTGGGCTGCTTTGGTTCGGATTCTTCGCTATCTTCGCGGCACTATCTTCCAAGGCTTGTTGTTGTCTTCTACTTCTTCCTTAGCTTTGGTGGCTTATGCTGATGTTGATTGGGCTGGTGATGTGACTGATCGTAAGTCCACTTTTGGGTTCTGTCTGTTTCTTGGTGATTCCTTGATTTCTTGGAAAAGTAAGAAACAAACCGTTGTTGCCCGTTCTACTACCGAAGCTGAGTACCGTGCTATGACTCATGCTACTGCTGAGATTGTTTGGTTTCGTTGTCTCCTCTCTGACTTAGGCATTCCTCAATCCTCTCCGACCTCTCTCTAGTGTGACAACCGAAGTACTATTCAGATTGCCCACAACACTTTTCCATGAACGAACGAAGCACATTGAGATTGCTTGTCACTTCATCCGTCAACACCTACAGTCTGGTTCTATCTCGCTTCCTTTTGTCCCTTCGGCTCTACAGCTTGTTGACTTCTTCACCAAGACTCACACCATTGCTTGTTTTCGGTTTCTTCTTGACAAACTCTCTGTGTTTTCAGCTAAAACACCTTGAGTTTGAGTGGGGGTGTGAGAATATATTCGTATATATTAGGCATTATATATATTAGGCATGTTTGTGATGACTGTATTTCCTTTTTTGGTCATATTCTTGTATTTCCTTCTTGGTTAGTCGTTAGGGTTATATAAACTAGTCTTGATGTAATTGATACACAATTGAATATACAAACCCAACATACATTGTTTATAATTATTCCACTTAAAATTTCAGGAGACTTACGTGTAGTTTCTAATAGGTAGACTTATTATCCAATAGGTCCTATAATAGTTAATGGCGTTTTTCATCAAATACTATTAAAAAAATGTCACTAATTATTAACTCTCAGAGACATTTTGAAAATTTTGTCACAAAAAATATCATTAATTATAAGTTTTAGCAATGGTTTAAAAAAATTGTCATAAAAAAAGTCACTAATTTTCAACTTTCAGCGACAGTTTGAAAAATTCGTCATACAAAAACGTCACTCATTGTAAGTTTAGCGACCATTTATAAAAATCGTGACAACAAAAGTCACTAATTGTCAATTTTTAGTGACATATGGAAAAAATCGTCACAAAAAATTATTTTTAGCAATGATTTTACTATAACTTATTTTCAATAGGACTTGATGGGAATTAAACCCAATTATCAGGACCTATTAGTAGTTTACCTTAACACGAACTTAAGCCTATCAATGGTGAATTCATCCATTGTATATTAAGACCTACGCTTTTTACTTTTTATCCAATATAGGACTCTACCTTCACACATGTTCCAACAAGAATTATAGAAAAGATCAGGTGAATGTACACAAAAGATGAAATGCAGGAGACTTGGACTGGATTCCCGTTGTGCCTTTCATTCTTGGTATCCAAACATAGCCACAAGTCAGGGATTTGGCTTTTCCCCTTCATAATTTCATGTAAATAAAACTCTTTTTTCTTTTGTTGTGTGTGTGTGTGTGTCTGTGTTATAAACATGGCTTATTTTCATAAGTGGTTTACATCATCATCTTTCTTGAAAATGACATATCAAAAAAATTGTGCTTTAAAACTTGTTTAACCTCCATAATTTCTTCACTAAGATGATTAGAACTTCATCATGATCCGCATGAAGTTCTCCACTACAGCAAGAAAATGAAAGTACGAAATAATAATAATAATAATTTGAGAAAGCACTACAAAATTCCAATTACCCTATTTGAGGGAACATCAACGAACCAAGCCATTAGCTCAGCATTACCTACGCCTAAAAATCTCCTTTCTTCAAAACATTTGGATTTCTACAAAATTTGTTACTTGACTCTCTAAAACTTCCAAGGGTTAAACCTTGATTCTGACTTTTGGTTGTGTGGCTTTTGTGTAACACATTCCCATTCCATAGTAACTAACTACTCATACACTAGTAATTGGACTTTAAACACTGTCACCTATTGGGTTCATTATTAACAAGAAGCAAAACTACACTGCGCTTTATAGTTTTCTATTCTCTTTCATCTATTTCATCATCTATTGCTATTCACCTTGGTCCTTAAGTTAGGAATTCACAAAGAGAGTGACAATTTCACTTCTTGTAAACATGAGTACAATTTTAAATCTAATAATGGAAATCTCAGTCATTACTTTTTGAATTAAAAATAACTATTATATTTCAAAATTTGTTTAACAGTAACGGAGATCATACGTAGAATTTTGGGAGAAGTACAAAAAAAATCTCAGGATTTGACTCTTGTAACAAAATAAATCCTAAATTTTTAATTTTATCAATTAAACCTTAATCTTCTAATTTATTTTCAATCTAAACCATTTGTTTATTTTTGTTAAGTAAGACAGATAGAAAAAAAATATATATATATATATATTTTAGTGTTATTAAACTCAAAGAAAAAGGGTGTTTTATACATTTTGTGTACCACTACATTGAGTTTAATGGTTAGAATGCTACTTTCCGTCACATGACTTTCTAAAGTTTTATCTTTTTAATGTCACGTTCTAAATAAAGTGGTTTAGCCTTCTATACTGGTCCAAATTAAAAAGTCAAAATTATGAAGCATCTCAAGACCAAAAACAACAAGTGCAAAAAGGATCACTTACTCCACAAAATGGAATAGAAGCTGTCCCAGCATGAGGACCTGCTAGTGATATGAAATTCTTCACCTGTCTCGAACAAGAAAAATAACAGGCCACAAAGTAAGTTTCATATGCAGACCAGAAGTCAGTTCCATGCCAGGAAAATAAGGGGTGCCAGAAGAAAGCAATGAATTGCAGCAAAGATAAGGTAATGATTAGAATCCGTAGAAGAACTCTTCTATTCTGGAGGTGGGTGTCAAGTAATTTGCTGAACCAGACATTTTTTTAAAAAATTGCTGAGTCGAATTATGGAGAAACTGAGTTAGTGCCTCAACCAAACCAACTGTACAGATTTTGTAAAGTTCTTGTTTATATTGTGGTTTGACTCTGGTTTCTCAACCAACAATTCGGAAATAATTTTAGCAACATGGAAGAAAGTATAATGTACCTGCAGTATCCTTTCAATTTTTTTGATTCACAATTTTTCAAGTAAAAATATGGAAGCAGAACTTCTTTAACCTCATTACATACATGAGAGCCAACCCATTAACTAGAGGCAGACCCTTACACCAAAGATACTTTCATCACTAAAATGTCCCCTTTTTTCAGTGCTTATTATCCAATATTTGTGATGGTAATGTTTGTGTAATCCAAGAATGTGATGTCATCCCTAGCACTACGGCAAACTGGTCAAAGTTTATCCTGTAACAATCACCAACATAGTGACGAACACATCCACACTTAAACTAGATTTTGGATATGTTAAAAATGTATATTATTGATTGATATCTGATGTGTTGTATTGATCTATTACAAGATTGATTACAACTCCTATATATAGAAGAGAAGGTGGTAGTAGGTGTAGTGTAGTGGAGGTGGTAGGTGAAGTGGGTGCTAGTGGAGATGGTAGGTGGAGGAGTAAATTGGTAAATTCTAACAGGATACCTTTCTCTGAAGAAAAAAAAATAAAGAATAGAATTGGGAAGAGAACAGAGTTTGAAAAGTTTTTTGGTAATTTGTTATAGTTAACACATAAACATCATGCAAATTTTCCATTATTTATAGTGAAATTTGCACAATCAATTTCATTATTTTAAATAACTTCACATTACATCACAAATATAATCAAATAAGTGGTGGGGAATACATGTTTGCACACAAAACTATCTATATTTCAGTTTAAATATCTAAATGTTCACACGTGCATGCACACACAGACACATATACAGAGAGATGAGGAGAGTGGGGGTGCGGAGGAGAAAATTTGATTAAAAAGTGAGAAATCATATTGAAAATGCATAGACAAATAGCTCAACAATGATGAGAATAAAAAGGAATTGCAAATAAATATTATGCCAAAGCTTTTAATGAGTTAGCCTTACTGGAGGTCCTCCATCACAAAACTCAACAACCCCTCGGCCAACCATATTTCCCTGAAAAGTGTAACAATAGAGTAAAATGCTCACCAATATGTACAAATCAGCGATGGAAATGAAAGAATGGCCATATGAAAGTTAATTGACAAAAACATTAAAAGGGGAATAATGAAACTACAATGCATTATAAACTGTATAGATATAGAAGCCATTAAAAAGCTCAAATTTTTTGCATAAATTCTCTATATCTCACCCAAAAACGTGTATAAGCATCTGCACTGAAGTGGGAATGAGGCCATACTTAAGATAGTGCATGGGAGGGAATAAGCATCACATTTAGTGCAAAGTGAAAAGATGTTGTTAAGCTTTCCTCATAGCTCCTGTTCAGAAAGTTCAACAGATGAGCATATTGCTTCCTATAGTTAATTGGTAGTGAGGTGGCAGGTCATGGACCTCTGAGAAGATGATGGGCACCTCAATGGCCAAGAGTAACTAAAAGCCAAGGCAAGAACCAAGGCTACCTTGGAAAGAGAGAGGGTAGCAGAAGTAGAGAACCTTGTCACCAGAATAGGGGAAAGATATGATAGTTAGATAGTTGACTGTTGTCTACGTGCATGGATATCCCCCATATAGGCTCCAAGATCACTGGAGACTAACTCCTATGGACACGTGGCAAGGCTCTTCTTGGCCTGATAGAGAGGAGGTATCAGTTCTACCTCTATGTTCCATATATTAGACCTCAGAGGCTGTATCATGGGAGTTGTAGAGTCAGATATGATATCTCGAATGGTGTATCTGTGAGAATATTAGGTTTATGTATGTGTGGAATTATATATCAGGGATTGAGCTTATATTTTTGTTTCCTTTTTCAGTTCTAGGGTTTGGATTGTTATATATACCGATGTATTCTTGTATCAATTACACAGTTGAATATACAAGTTCTTCAGAAATCTTATATGGTATCAGAGCCGAAATCCTAGGTCTAGCCTTGTTTGTTCGAAGCTCTCTCTGTGGTTCTACGAAGTTGCGACAGCTTCTTGTCTCTAGTTTGAAGTCGTGACTCTCTGCTCTAGGCCTAAACACGATCGCAAGGGCCTTTCTCTCTCTCGCTCTCTCTCTCTCTCTCTCTCTCTAGTTCAAAAACTCGACACCCATCGTGGTTCATCGTTTCTATTTGATCGAAGCTTAGTCTCTGATTCTGGTTCATTGATCTCAATCGAAGCTTTCTGATTCTGGTTCATTGGTCTTGATCTCCCTCTCCTAGGTCGTCACATCACCTCGGTCTCACTATTCTCTCGTGCAACTTTTGGGTTTAATTGCCTAACCCATCTGGATTCATCTAGATTGTCTTGTTCTTGTCTCTCCATCTCTCTCTATGTTCGTGGTTCCATCTATATTGCTCTTGGTATATTACAGTTCTCTACATATTACTGTTGCCCATTAAGTCTCTCTTTATTACACTTAGACCCCATCAGTTCATTGTCTTTTTCCTCTTTTGATCTATTATGATGTCGAACACTAAAATTCAAGCCATCAATTGCAAATTCACTGGTAGCAATTATGCCTATTGAGCCGTTGTTATCAAGAATTTTCTTCTTGGTAAGAAAAAATAGGGCTATGTTTCTGGATCTGTTCCTCGTCCGTCGGACCCGAAAAAATAAAAATATCTGACTTCTTGTGATGCTTGGGATTGTGACAATACCCAAGTTCTGACATGTTTTCATAATTCTGTGGATAACCGTAGGATTATTTACAGTGTTTCTCAATAGTCTAACTTTGTCAAGCGGTATGAGTCGGAAACAGCCATTCAAGGTGCTCGTTAGTGGGATCAGTCCATTCAGGACATCTATATAGAGATGACAGGTTTTTTGGATCAGTTGGCTCTTATGGAACCATCAAGCCTCAAAGTTCTAGATGCTTATATTGAGTTTCGGGAACAGAGTCATTTAGTGCAGTTTTTAACGGCTCTCTCCCCTCAATATGAGACTATCCGTGGTGGCATCCTTCACCGGTCTTCTCTTCCCTCTATGGATGCTATTGTTCATGAGCTCCTCTCTGAAGAAACCTGTCTTAAGACAGCCAATCAGACTCTGCCTTCATCTGTCTTCCTGGCTCCTGCCCAACCTCCATTACTATCAACTCCACATCTTCATCAGTTTCTGGTTACTGCAAAGCCCAAGAAGGAACCGATGGCTTTAAATGAGTGTGCTTTCTACTATTAGAAGGGCCATTAGAAGTACAATTGTCCCAAGAAAAGACGGGTGTCTTCTCAACAGTCTCAATCACAGGTCCGAGGTCTTGCTCCGAGTACCTTTCGGCTTCCTGCCACTTATACTGCATCTACTCTGGCTCCTAATCCTGACTTGGCTTCCTCGAGTGCCCAGATTGCTCAGCTTCAACATCTATTGTCCACCTCCCAGTCATCTCCATCTACCTCCATTCTCACATTTCTTCATTCAGGTTTGCTTGGGTCCTCTTCTGGTAACTCTTCTTCTGTCTGGCTTTTTGACTCTAGTGCCTCTCGTTATATGACTCCTCATCTTTCATTACTTCTGCTGGAAATTTGTGTTAATGTATATAATATGATAGTGGTGTTGGTGGTAGATAGTGGCATGTATAGAATATGATAGTGGTGTTGGTTGTAGATAGTGGCATGTATAGAATATGATTGTGGTGTTGGTTGTAGATAGTGGCATGTATAGAATATGATTGTGGTGTTGGTTGTAGATAGTGGCATGTATAGAATATGATTGTGGTGTTGGTTGTAGATAGTGGCATGTATAGAATATGATTGTGGTGTTGGTTGTAGATAGTGGCATGTATAGAATATGATTGTGGTGTTGGTTGTAGATAGTGGCATGTATAGAATATGATAGTGGTGTTGGTGGTAGATAGTGGCATGTATAGAATATGATAGGGGTGTTGGTGGTAGATAGTGGCATGTATAGAATATGATAGTGGTGTTGGTGGTAGATAGTGGCATGTATAGAATATGATAGTGGTGTTGGTGGTAGATAGTGGCATGTATAGAATATGATAGTGGTGTTGGTGGTAGATAGTGGCATGTATAGAATATGATAGTGGTGTTGGTGGTAGATAGTGGCATGTATAGAATATGATAGTGGTGTTGGTGGTAGATAGTGGCATGTATAGAATATGATAGTGGTGTTGGTGGTAGATAGTGGCATGTATAGAATATGATAGTGGTGTTGGTGGTAGATAGTGGCATGTATAGAATATGATAGTGGTGTTGGTGGTAGATAGTGGCATGTATAGAATATGATAGTGGTGTTGGTGGTAGATAGTGGCATGTATAGAATATGATAGTGGTGTTGGTGGTAGATAGTGGCATGTATAGAATATGATAGTGGTGTTGGTGGTAGATAGTGGCATGTATAGAATATGATAGTGGTGTTGGTGGTAGATAGTGGCATGTATAGAATATGATAGTGGTGTTGGTGGTAGATAGTGGCATGTATAGAATATGATAGTGGTGTTGGTGGTAGATAGTGGCATGTATATAATATGATAGTGGTAGATAGTGGTAATATATAATATGTAAGTGGCATATAATGGGTTATAATGATGCTTGTAATATCTCCTATATAAGGAGGGTCATTTGGTCTTGTAAAATAAGAAGTTTTGAATATAACAAA